GTTAAATTTGTTCAGGCAATTTTCGGGAAAGAGAAGTTCAGAAGCAGCAAAATGCTGCTCTGTGTGAACGCAGAGAGAAATTTCAGGAAAGAGCGCGCTAACGATTAGAACACGCTGACGCGAGACATCTACTCCAGCCAATGAGAACATTTAGACGTATTCACATCCGCGCAGTTTATGAAAATAAAAGCTTTTGAATATTTTTCCAGAAACATTTAGTTGCTAGATGTTAGTCAGATAATGTTTCTGTTTTTTCTTAATGCCAACTGTGTAAAAAAAAAAAATATTAATAAAATGCTTATGATAAACCGCTGTTTGTTTAATTTCAAGCTCTGCTTCAGTTGCTTGACGCGTGTGCACGTGAAGTGCAGGATTGCTCCGGTGAGCGCCAGCACACACACATATGTACATCTTGACATGTTAAAGTGTTCCTCCATGTTTTCAGCGAAGTTGTTCACAATACTTGTCCATCCACAGAAATTGTAATGTAGTCAAATGTGTTTGCGTTTCTACCCTTGGATGTCTCTGGGACAAGCTGCATGAATGCTAACGTTAAAGCTTTAGATATAAAGGTGAACCCATCAAGAAACACCCGACCCCTTATATGTTAACAAATACAAGTACAGCCGTTAAGAGGTCATTTCTGATTAATGATGTCAGAATTTTCTGTATTTTAGAATGTGTGAATAGTCTTTTCCAGAAAAATTCCAGAACGTCCTCGTCTGTGTGAACAATGCTTTTTGAACGTACCGATCGTTCCAGTGATTTTCCGGATATTTACCACTATCACTGTAAAAGGGGATAAAGGCTATCGGTTTCCAGTACTCTTCAAAATATCTTCCTATTTGTTCAACAGAAGTAAGAAGCTTTAACGGGTTTACCACAAGTGAAGCACTCAAATATTATTTTTGATGCTTGTTCAAACTACAAACTACAAGCTACATTATTTAAAATAAGCTGAAACAACACAAGTCTTAAGATTTTATTTAAACAACTTAATTTTAATGGTAAATCCACTTGAATTGGTTAAATGTGTTAAGTGATTAAGTTAACTTAGTCGATTTGTGTTGAGACAACATGAATTAATTGTATTGAATGATATGTGTGATTTGTGCTCTTTGTTCAAACTACTTATTTAAAATGAGCTGAAACGAAACAATTCTTGAGATTTCATTGGGACAGCCTACACTAAAAAAAATTATTCAGAGATGATTCCTTGGATTTACTCAATTTGTTACGTTAAGTGGTTGTAAACAATTTATTTGTGTTGAATTTAAGTAAACAAATTAAGTTGAACATTATAAAACTTAATTTGTTTGTTTAAATTCAACACAAATAAATTGTTTGCAACAGTTCCGCATGCAACACTTTTTTCAGTGTAATTTTTTATGTTCAATCCACATAAATTGGTTAAAAGAGTTAAGTTAACTTAATCGATTGGCGTTGAGACAACATGAATGAACTGTGTCGAACCCAAAAATTTTTACAGTGTGGTTTTTGCTGCTTGTTCAAAATACTTATTCAAAATGAGCTAAAACAACACAATTCTTAATAGATTTTAGGGACAACTTAATTATTTTATGTTCAATCCACTTAAATCTGTTAATTTCACTTAATCGATTTGTCCTGAGACCACATTTTTTACAACGAGGCTGCGTACATGATAACTGATGTTTCAGTTTTGGACGAACTATCAAAATGGCTTGTGCAGCTAAGGGTAACATTATCTACACCTTTTAAATGTAGCTTTGTATGTTCAGTAGTTCAGATGCAGAGGAAAAAAAAATCAATGAAAAGGATATTAGTTTCAATACAAAGCTGCCTAGTAAGGCACTGCAGCGATGCTAAAGCTACAGAGAACCTTTCTCAGCGCTAGGCTAATTAGCACATATATTACATTGGGAAAACTAAGGGAAAGGAAATTGCTTTGTCAAATTTCCACATAGCAGTGGCACAATTCTCACACATTTCCAAGACCTGTTTAATATCCAGTGTTGTTTAACCGTGTAATAAAAAGACAAGAGACAAGGCGCAAAAGAAAACGTTAGCCCAATATGAGGTGTTGTTTTGCTGTTAGCTCTTGATATTGGTCCGACGGCATGCAGTTTGTTGGTTATAACAAGCTTGTTTTACTAGTTTTGTGGGGTTGTCACAATTTCAATATGTAGCGTCCTCTTTTCTAGGAAATATCATACTAGATTTTTTGCAGCTTAAAATATAGCCTCATTTTAGGGTGGCTAAAGAAGCCAATTATTATACCCAGTTACTCTCCTGCACTATATAACAAAGTTAACCCACACAACTGACCCAGAAGCCATTTTTAGGGTTTCACAGCAGCAGCGGGCCTGAAATAGTTTCTTCATCTGATGTTACTGAGCCTGCGCTGATACTTGCTCTGTTCGCATGACTTTGTGGAGAATTTCACATCGCGTTTTGGCACAAATTGTATCTTTCTGTTCAGATGCTGCCTACGAGCGTGCACGGACACACACACACACACACACACACACACACACACACACACACACACATGCGTGCTTACACTTAAAGCAACTGCCAAGATGTAATTAGCTGCTAACATCTAACACGTCTCACCTACACACTCCTACTCATGCAAACAAACCAAGCGACCCACAGCTCAGCAGATTTACAACATTATTTAAACATACAGAGATAGCGTGAGAACAGATGCCCACTCATGCCCATCACACACACACACACACACACACACACACACACACATGAACACATGCATGTGTGTGTTTAGCGTACGGTTACACACAGCAGAAACACCAGCCCACTATATACCCTACGATCAATGATGTAGTGAGCTGCATCAGCTTGCATGTTTAAGTTTGTGTAAAATTACTTTTTTTTAAATAAATATTTATAATAGATTGACATAACATTGAAATGCTGTCATTTTATAGTTTTATTTTATTACTTGATGTCTCTAATGTGTCTATTTTGTCAAAAAAAATCGTTGAAACTATATGTGAAAGAAAGTTGATTCTTGAAGAAATTGTGTTTGAGATCTTGGTTTCTTTTGATTGCGGTACGCTTAAGGACTGATAATGTATGTTCTTTTGCAGCGGCTTTTCAATTATTTTTTCATTTAGTATCTTTAATATCACTTTCACACACATCAATGACTTTTGAATTGAGTTTTTTTTAGTTTTGCTTTCTTTCTTTTGATGTTTTGCTCACTTTATGTTTTATTTTCTAAAAGACGGACGACAGACAGATAGATAGATATGAAGTTTAAAAGATGGATGGATGGAGGAATGGATGGATGCACGGACAGATGTATATTAAGTTTGATAGATAGATAGATAGATAGATAGATAGATAGATAGATAGATAGATAGATAGATAGATAGATAGATAGATAGATAGATAGATAGATAGATAGATAGATAGATAGATAGATAGATATGAAAACAGATAGATGGATGGATGGATGGATGGATGGATGGATGGATAGGTGGATGGATGGATGGATGGATGGATGGATGGATGGATGGATGGATGGATGGATGGATGGATGGTTGGATGGATGGATCGATGGATGGACGGACGATGGATGGATGGATGTATATGAAGTTTACTAGATAGATAGATAGATAGATAGATAGATAGATAGATAGATAGATAGATAGATAGATAGATAGATAGATAGATAGATAGATATGAAAACAAATAGATGGATGGATTGATGGATGGATGGATGGATGGATGGATGGATGGATGGATGGATGGATGGATGGATGGATGGATGGATGGATGGATGGATCGATGGATGGATGGATCGATGGATGGATGGATGTATATGAAGTTTACTAGATAGATAGATAGATAGATAGATAGATAGATAGATAGATAGATAGATAGATAGATAGATAGATAGATAGATAGATAGATAGATAGATAGATAGATAGATAGATAGATAGATATGAAAACAGATAGATGGATGGATGGATGGATGGTTGGATGGATAGATGGGTGGATGGATGGATGGATGGATGGATGGATGGATGGATGGATGGATGGATGGTTGGATGGATGGGTGGATGGATCGATGGATCGATGGATGGACGGACGATGGATGGATGGATGTATATGAAGTTTACTAGATAGATAGACAGACAGATAGATAGATAGATAGATAGATAGATAGATAGATAGATAGATAGATAGATAGATAGATAGATAGATAGATAGATAGATAGATAGATAGATAGATAGATATGAAAACAGATGGATGGATGAATGGATGCATGGATGGATGGATGGTTGGATGGATGGGTGGGTGGATGGATGGATGGATGGATGGATGGATGGATGGATGGATGGATGGACGGACGATGGATGGATGGATGGATGGATGGGTATGAAGTTTACTAGATAAGATAGATAGATAGATAGATAGATAGATAGATAGATAGATAGATAGATAGATAGATCTGTGATTAATCTATAATATTTAAGTGTAATCTCAAAAAGCATTTAAATTAGATATGCTGTTTTTTATAAATACCACAGTAATACCATTGTATGTTTCATACAATAATGTAATAGTACATGCATAAAGTACCTTGTTTCATAGTACATGTAAACCTGTGCTCTTCTTTAGCCACAAAATACAAAAATGATTTTGCAATTGCACAACATGCTACTAAAATCTGATGTCAAAAGAAAAGAAAAAAAGCGAACAATTCAGCATTCCACTCTGCGCTTTGGAAGTGTTAAAAGGAAAACAAAACTACAATAGAAACAATGATCGCTCTCATTTCTTATGAAGAGCAGCATCACTCCAGAATCCCTCTTATTGTCTTTTTCTCAGTTTCCTCCCATTCATTCACTCTCTTCAAAGTTTTCAAAGAACCAGGATCTCTTACCGGCAGCTCGGTCTCACTCAGGATGTCTTTCTCTCTCTTTCCCTCCGTTGGTGTGTGTGTGTCTCCTGCTTGCGTGTCCTCGCTCTTTGTGTGTGTGTTAGGCGGTGTTTGACTTCAGCGGCAGCGGACGCCTGGAGCTCAGTCTGAAGGCTGGAGATGTGATCTTCCTCCTGCGGAGAGTCAATGCAGACTGGCTGGAGGTGAGAGACGGATAACAGGACAGAGGCAGAGAGAAAGGTAGAAGAGGATAGGTAGGAAGGAGGACAGCAGAGAGAGAGAGAGAGAGGAGGGTTTGTAAGAGAAAAAAGGGAGGGAGAGAGTAAAAGGATGGAGTAGCGTGATCTCATTAACGTTTGGAGGTATCTGTAAGTGTGATTGTAGCTTTTAAGATGATGACTTGCTACGCCGCTAACTATGTTTCCATCCACCTGTTTTTAAGCACATTTTGGAATATCATATGCTTAATGGAAATGATGAGATCCTCATACGGTACATTTTGAAAATGCACTTTAAAAAATTGTATGTGCACAATTGAGCAGGGTAAACTTTTATCAGATAAGAACAAACGGTCATTAAACTATGATGGAAACACATTTAGGGTACTATCATACGTTTGTTGCTTTTTTCAGACCCACGCAACCCTAATTTTCCCGCTTTGCACCACATTGCTTAAATAGCAAATCCATTTGCGCCACTTTGTGGAGAGGGTGCTCGCTGCAGAGCCATTTGAGGAGAGCTGAGCTCCAGCGAGGGGGAGCATGAGCTGTCGCTCCTCCTCCTGTAAGCTGTTTTAATGCGTACACCAACCCCACCCCTAACCCTACCCCCAGTGACATCACTCGTAGAAGAAGTGCAAAAAAGGTGGAGCTCAAGCTTAAGCTCCCCCTCGCTGGAGCTCAGCTCTCCTCAAATGGAGAGAGCACCACTTGACTTTGTGGAGTCATGGGTGTTGTCTTCTCACGTAAATCCACCAGAGGCCACTGTCGACCGACTGACTTTCTGCTGACCAACTGACTGGTACCCCACCCTCCCCATTCCCTAAACCCAACCAATACCATTTTAAAAAGCAACAATTGATCCACCTAAACCACTAAACCCAACCTCAGTTTTTTATTTTTACATGATTTTAACCTTATTTTATTTTTCCATGATTTCTCTTTTTTTTTTTTATTTTACGTGATCATTTATTTAAAAACAATTTTACCCTTATTTTTGTGCAATTTCACGCTTTTTTATTTTTACATGATTTTACAATTTTTTTAGTTTTACATGATTTCACTTTTTTTTATTTTTACACAATTTCACGCTTTTTTTATTTTTACACGATTTCACTCTTATTTTATTTTTACATGATTACACGCTTATTTTTAGACGATTTCACACTTATTTTATTTTCATGTGATTTCATGCTTATTTTATTTTTACAAGATTTCAAGCTTTATTTATTTTTACATGGTTTTACGATTATTTTATATTTTACATGATTTCATTTTTTTTATATTTTTACACGATTTCACACTTATTTTTTATGCAATTTCATGCATTTTTATTTTTGAACGATTTCACGGTTATTTTATTTTATTTTTCTGTCTATCGTCATAAATAATTATTGTGCATCATAAGATGTGGTAGGGGTAGGGTGTGTTTAAATTTTTCTTTTTGAAATATCTTACTTATTTTTCTACTGTGCTTGAGTATATAAATAACTTGTGACCTTGAAATTCAGAAAAATAAATTACAACAAAATACTTTCACAACCGATTTCATTAGAATAAGCAATATGTTGAAAATCTAAAATTAAGTTTTGATGTAGATGCAGAGAGTAAATAACAGGATGAGAACATGGTTAGATCTAAAAAAATAAAAAGTAGGTAAAAGAAAAGTAAAAATCTGTTTTTTTTTCTGCTTTTAAAAACAATGTCAGTTGGGTTTAGAAAAGGGGGTGGGTGGGGACATCGGCTTGTTAGTCAGTCAGTCGCCAGCAGCATCTGGTGGATTTAGGGAAAAACAGCAGGCGTGAATAGCACCCCCAAGAGAAATTTGAGTTCTAAAAAACGTACACATAGACCTCTGGTGGATTTGCTAAAAACTGCAAAAGAACATACCTCTTGGGATGTATTTCACACTCTCTAGTAATGTATACAGGGGTAAGTATCTATAATGAGCCTGGATTGTGTGTTAGAGTACAGAAGTCGCCCTGAGAAGGAAGAAGAGGCTAAATGTAAGGACAAAACTGAATGATGAAGGGAGAACTGAAAAATGATGACATTAAAAAAAGTAAAGGAGAAGAGGTAAAAGACATTTGTATTGGAGTGGGACACTGAGATTGAGCAGATCTGATCTGAACTCACACAGATTGCTTTTATTTTTTTCAGGCCAAGACAGTAAAGGAGAAGGATTTGACCTGAATTGAATTGCAAAGGGAGAGAGAGAGAGAATTGGATATTGCATAGACATGCAATGGACCCTCAAATAACATTATCAAGATGAGGGAGGGTGAAAGAGAAAGATCAAGTTGTAATTTTGTAGTTCATTGCCATCTAAACTCCTTTTTTTGCTTGAATGCATCTAATGTGTCTGAAGATCTGAGGCATAGTGGTCATTATCCGTCTCACTTCTGGGAACAGTAAAACCCCTGCCGCCCTAATCTGTCAACCACTCTCATCAGATCAGATCTACCCTGCACAGACAGACAGACAGACAGACAGACAGACAGACAGACAGACAGACAGACAGATAGATAGATAGATAGATAGATAGATAGATAGATAGATAGATAGATAGATAGATAGATAGATAGATAGATAGATAGATAGATAGATACAGACAGACAGACAGACAGACAGACAGACAGAGAGACGGACGGACGGACGGACGGACGGACGGACCGACGGACGGACGGAGAGACGGACGGACGGACGGACGGACGGACGGACGGACGGACGGACGGACGGACAGACAGACAGACAGACAGACAGACAGACAGACAGACAGACAGACAGACAGACAGATAGATAGATAGATAGATAGATAGATAGATAGATAGATAGATAGATAGATAGATAGATAGATAGATAGATAGATAGACCAACAGACATATAGACATATAGCTAACATGCAGAGAGACTGATGGACAAACATTGAGAGAGATAGACAGAAAGCAAAGAGATGGATGGAAAGACAGACAGAGTGACCAACAGACAGACAGAAACCAGACAAACAAATGGACTGAGAGACAAACAGATGGATGGGCGGACAGAGAGAGAGAGAGAGAGAGAGAGACAGACAGAAAGTAGACAGACAGATAGACTTACAGAAAGCAGACAGACGGACAGAGAGAGACAGACAGAAAGCAGACGACAGAGAGACAGACAGACAGATGGACAGACAGACAAAAAGATAGACGGACAAGGAGGGAGAAAGATAGACAAACAGACAGAAGGACAGACAGAAAGATAGACAGACAGAGAGAAAGCAGACAGACAGTCTGATGGCAAACGGATGGACTTAGAGATAGATGAACAGACAGCGAGAAAGAGAGACAGACAAACAGAGAGAGATAGAAAGAGAACCAAAGACAGATTGACGGACAGATCTCCTCATCTTTTCCTGCTGGTGTTCCCTCTGTAGGGCACAGTGAGGGACAGAACTGGCATCTTCCCTGAGTCGTTTGTGAAGATTATTAAAGCGCTTCCAGAGAACGAGTCTGATGAAGAGGGCGGAGCTTCCAGGAACAGCAGTCGAGCTCAGGGGTCATACAGCTGTCTTCACTGTTACTTTCTGCAGCCAGAGGGCATCGAGACCAGGTCACACTCACACACACAGACTACGGCTGCACAATGTAACGTTTAAGCATTGACATCGCAATGTGATCATTTGCAATAGTCATATTCCACCATTCGGGCATACCTTTTTTTTACCATTTGTAACTTTACTAGTGGGCGACGCAGTGGTTCAGTAGATAGTGCTGTCGCCTCATAGCAAGAAGGTCGCTGGTTCGAGTCTCGGCTGGGTCAGTTGGCATTTCTGTGTGGAGTTAGCATGTTCTCCCTGCGTTCCCGTGGGTTTCCCTTCGGGTGCTCCAGTTTCCCCCACTGTCCAAAGACATGCGGTACAGGTGAATTGGATTAGATAAATTGTCTGCAATGTATGTATGAGTGTGAATGAATGTGTATGAATGTTTCCCAGAGATGGGTTGCAGCTGGAAGGCCATCCACTGCGTAAAACATGTGCTGAATAAGTTGGCGGTTCATTCTGGTGTGGTGACCCCGGATTAATAAAGGGACTATGCCGAAAAGAATATGAATGTATGAACTTCACTAGTGATTAATTCTGCAGTATTATTTTACATTTAATTATTGAATTACGGTACCTAAATCATGTTAGATCCTCAGAAATCAATCACAAAACACACACACACACAGGCTCGCTAACATACAGTATATATACAAATATACAACATTGTTTAAGAGTGTTGGCATCTAGTTTATATGTTACATTTCGGTGTATTTAAGTTTTTCTACAGACACAATCTATAAAGTGTGAAAAAAGAAACACTTAAAGGTGTATTTAATAAGTTTTTTTTTTAATTAGACTAAAATAAAACACTTCATAAAAAGCCAAAAAAGCCCAAAATTTCAAGTGAATGAAAAAAATGTTTTGGCCTACTGTGTCCACCTTAAACAAATACACACCAGTACTACAACACTCTGGCAGTCACTCTACTCTACTAATTTATTTGTTTTATTTTGGCTAGAATAAAAGCAGTTTTTAATTAAAAAAAAAACATTTTAGGGACACAATTATTAGCCCCTTTAAGCTATGTATTTTTTTTTTAGATAGTGTACAGAACAAACCATCAATATACAATAACTTGCCTAGTTAACCTAATTAACCTAGTTAAGCCTTTAAATGTCACTTTCAGCTGTATAGAAGTGTCTTAAAAATATCTAGTAAAACATTATCTACTGTCATCATGGCAGAGATAAAATAAATCAGTTATTACAAATGAGTTATTAAAACTATTATGTTCAGAAATGTGTTGAAAAAATCTCCCCATTATACAGAATTTGGGAAAAAAATAAAAAGGGGGTGAATTATTCTGGCTTCAACTGTATATTAATTTTGCTGCTTGTTCAAACTACTTAATTAAAATGAGCTAATTCAATTTTCCTAAATTTGCAAAAAAAAAACACAGAACAATTAAGTCAGCTTAATTGATTTGTGTTGGGACAACATGAAGGAATTGTGTGGTTTTGAATAGGACGTTTCTCAGTTAATGTAAAGGTTTTACGATTATTGTCTGTTGTAGGGACATTTGTGTTCAGGAGGATCTCTCTATCCAGCCGTCATATGAAGATCTGCTGTCCAGAATGAGGTACTGTTATCTTGTCCGGTTCAAAAGGTCATCTTTTTTTCTCTCTTTTTTGGAGGTATTTACTGCTATATTGTCTCTTAAAAGGGCAACATGGTGGCTAGCACTGTTGCCTCTGTGTCAACTGTTGCCTCTGTAGCAAGAAGGTCACTGGTTTAAGTTTGCACTGGGCCATGTTCTTCCCTTGCTGGAGTGGATTTCCTTCAGGTGCTCCAGTTTCCCACACAGTCCTTAGACATGCCCTACAGTTAGATTGATCGACAATTAGATTAGATTGACAGACAGACAGACAGACAGACAGACAGACAGACAGACAGACAGACAGACAGACAGACAGACAGACAGACAGACAGACAGACAGACAGACAGATAGATAGATAGATAGATAGATAGATAGATAGATAGATAGATAGATAGATAGATAGATAGATAGATAGATAGATAGATAGATAGATGTTAGATTGACGGATAGATCGACAGTTAGATCGACAGACAGACAGACATAATACAGTATAATAAACAAATAAATGACTGAAGCATATATTGCACAAACTAACCAAAAAGTTATAATTCGCTCACTGGCTACAACAGCAAGCATAATAGTTCACAACATGTGATTATATATGAGTACACACATGCTGATCTCTAGTTTCAATTCTCTTATAATTCTTCTGAGCTTATTTTAATAGCATATGCTGTTCCAAAATGAGACACGCTGTCATCATTTACTGCAGTATAAAAACAGATGTGACATGTAAACACCTCACGATTTCTTCAAAAGCAAAAAAATGGATTCATGCTAACTTCAAAACAACTTGAGTGAGAAATCATTAGATGTCTTAACAGCAGATGTTCTTCTTTTTGTCCTTTTATTCTCTCTGGAAACATCGCGTGGTCTGCAAAACAATATCTCGAGGACCACGTGTTGAGCAGAGCCAGATTAATGTTTAATAATAAAGCTCATTTGCATGATGTTGAATATGCATCTGTTATTGGAGTGCTGCAAGCACCGTGCTGAATAATTAGCATATAGGTCACATGACTGGCGACAAATTGCATTACACTAATTATATTTGCACTTGTTATGACCTCTAAACTACTGTACAATTTTTTTTCCTTGAATTCCCTCTGTCGAGCCCTCAGGGATGTCTTTCATGTGGAAGGTATTGCTCTGAATACAGAAAGCAACCTAATATGGATATTCGACATATAAGAGACATGAGAGCAACAACAAAAGTCATTGTAGCCTGTTATTACATGAAAAAAGTAAGAAATATCAGACGTAACCTCTCTATTGCAAGAAAAAAGTCAGAACTGTGAGATGTACTGTAACATCTAAATTAAAAGAAAACATCAGAAATGTGAGTTTAAATTACCTCTTTCCCTGCCAGCTTTTTAAAAAGTAGTTGCCAGCCACTGCCAGCATTTTCGAAGATTTTTTAACCTAAATTTAACAGCCCTAGAAATCGACTAGCTAGACATATACACTCACTGGCCACTTTATTAGGTACACCTTACTAGTGCTGGGTTGGACCCAATTTTGCTTTCAGAACTGCCTTAATTCTTCATGGCAGAGATTTAACAAGGTAATGGAAATATTCCATATGGACATGATAGTGTCACGCGGTTGCTGCAGATTTGTCGGCTGCACATCCATAATGCATATCTCCCATTCCATCACATCCCAAAGGTGCTCTATTGGATTGAGCTCTGGTGACTGTGAAGGTCATTTTAGTACAGTGAATTCATTGTCATGTTCCAGAAACCAGTCTGAGATGATTTGCGCTTTATAACATGGCACATTATCCTGCTGGAGGTAGCCATCAGAAGATGGGTACACTGTGGTCATAAAGGGATGGACATGGTCAGCAGCAATACTCAGGTAGGCTGTGGTGTTGACACGATGCTCAATTGGTACTAATGGGCCCAAAGTGTGCCAAGAAAATATCCCACATACCATTATACCACCACCACCAGCCTGAACCATTGATACAAGGCAGTCTTCTGCTGCTGTAACCCATCCGCCTCAAGGTTGGAAAAGTTGCGCATTTAGAGATGCGATGCTCTTCTGCAAAGAAAATGAATGATGTTGCAAGAAAAAAAAAAATGAAATTGTAAAGTTAAAATTGGAAGATCAACATTTACTGAGATGTAACATCAGAATTACAAGAAAAAAAGTCCAAAAAGTTGGAACATTAGAAGGTAGAACCTCTGAATTACAAGAAAAATTATGACATGTAGCTTCTAAATAAAAAAAAAGTCAATTGTGTTAAATACACATCTGTTGTTTGAGTGGTGAAAAATTGAAACGACTGGTGACAAATGGCAACACACATGTTATATTTGCACTTGTTATGACCTCCAAACTGTGCAAATTGTTTTCCTCTTTCCCTCAGGGACGTCTTTCATGTGGACGATATTGCTTTGAACTACCGAGATGCCGAGGGTGACCTGATACGGATATTAGACGATGAAGACGTCGTTCTCATGGTGCAAGAGAGTAAACGCATGGAGTCAAAGGTCAAACGACCCGTCATTCAGTTTCCCTGGGAGCTGCTGGTCACGCATGCCAAAGATCTGACCGTCTACAACACCGAGTATTAACATAGACATGCTTTTATGAGTCTCTTTGTATGGTCCTTGTCATTCCAAAGTCACTAGACATTTGTTTATTTTTTGTGGTTTTCAAATTGAAAACGTGTTTGGTTATTACAACCCCAAATCAGGAAAAGTTGGGACAGTAAGGAAAATGCAAATAAAAAAGAAAGTAGTAATTTCTAAATTTACTTTGATTCGTATTTCATTGCAGACAATAAAGTAAACAATTTTTAATGAGTTCCTCATGATTTTTATATTAATTTTTAAAATAAACACGTACTCCAGTTTTGTTTTTGAAAGACATTTCAAAAAAGTTGTAACAGTAAAGCATTTGCCACTTTGTACTATTTTTCATTCCTTTTCTCAACACTTAATGAAGTTTAGGGACCGAAGACACCAAGTAATAAAGTGTTTAAGGTGTAATTTTGTCCCATTCTTCCTGCTAACAGGTCTTAATGCACCACATATTCTCTATCGCAGACAGGTCGGGACTATAGACAGGCCAGTCAAGTACCTGTATCCTCTTCCATTGCAGCCAGGACTTTATAATGTGTGCAGAATGTGGTTTTGCATTGTCTTGTTGAAATATGCATGGGTGTCCCTGGAAAAGTAGGCAGCATATTGTGCTCCAAAATCTCTTTTCAGCATGAAGCCTGGTTTATACTCGACGCTTCAACTTGCTTGAGTGCACACAGGAAATGTGATGTCATCGTGGAGTTTGCAGATGTTTGCTTTGGGTGCACGCGACATGATTTCTGAGAATTTAAAACAATTGAAATTGTTTGATGAATTTAAAACAATTTAATAGTTGCAAAACTATAATGAAGTCACAAATGTATTTATTTGATAACTGGGAAGGAATATTTGGCCCTATCGGTTTACAATATACTGATGGCCTGTTTTTCTAGGCTTTATTGGTGATAATGTTCAGGAATGTTGGACCATTATTGCCTTTTTAGCATAAGTATTGGACAGAAACTAGCCAGACAGTAATGTGTGAACTGTGGAGCGGGCTAAATCTAAATATAAAAATGTATTTTATTTTGTAAGTGTACTTTTTTTTTGCTTTTATTCTTGGCATAATAAAATATATTTGTATAGCAACCCATATTCTCTTGTCATTAATATTTTAATAAACTTTAAGCGATAAAACTGTCTGAGATATGAACAAAAGCAAGTGATGCATCAAAGTTTGATTAAAAAAAACCTTTTTAATCAAAAATTAAATGAAAAAAAAGAACCTTCCTTCTCTGTTTATCCGTCTGACTTTATGGTGTTTTTTTTTTTTGACCACCCCCTGTCGTTTTAGAGAATATCACAACAGCAAATGCGGCAAGTATAAAAGCCTCTTCCGTTTCATGAGGTGCGCGTGCAGCCGTTCCTTTTGGCGCCGTTCCTTTTGACGCTTGCTGGCTGACCACTTATCTCCGTGTGGAGGGCTTTCCTGCCGCAACCAGTTTGTCCAGCTAGCTCGTCGTGTATGTCGGTGAACTTGAGGCGCAGAGAGGAGTTGACCTTGACGACAACGACCAGGCTTCGAGTAATAGAGATTTCGGGAAGAGTAGTTCCAGAAATCAGGGAAGACAAAAACCAAAAGATAAAATGAACGATTGAACAACAGGGTGAGAATGTGGAGAAATCCAAAAATGTGGTAAAAATCAGTCACTGATATTTCTTTTTCTAGACGGCTTTTGTAAACTGTCGGCTGGGTTTAGGGAAGTAAGCGGGCGGGCAGGTCAATCAGTAAAATTAGTTAGGTTTAGGGAAAGAGGAGGGTGGATTGGTCGATTGGCCGGTCACCCAGTCAATCAGTGGGTCGACAGGGGTCTCTGGTGGGTTCACGCGAGAACAGCGTAGGCGCAAACAGCACTCGGCATTTGAGATGCAAAAATAGCACTCACAGTGGACTCTTGCGGATTCGCAAAAAAAAAAACTGCAAAAATACATATATCCCGGGATGTATTTCGTGGCCTCCAGAAACTTCCGTGGGACTACGTTTACAGAATGAGCCTGGGATGGGCATTTGTGGATGTAACTACGTATTGTAGTAGTTGACAAAGGTTTGCCAAAGTAGGCCTGAGCTCATGTGGTGATATCACTTATAGATAAAAGAGGATTGTTGGTGCAGTCACAATATTTCAGCTTAGACTTGAGCCCTTGTTTTTTATGCAGTGAAATTTCTTAAGATTCCTTGAATCTTTTAATTGTCATGCACTGAAGGTGAAATTGCTTCTAAAAGTTTGAATAATTTTCTCACAAATTAGAAACTAGCAATCCTCTGCTTGCTCCTAAAGAATTTAATGTCTGCAATGTAAAGTCAAAGTAAATTTAGAAATCACTACTTTCTTTTATAATTTACGTTTTCCATGATGTCCCATGTCTTTTTATGATTTGACTGTTGTAAATAATTAGTCCATCTGAAAATGTACAATTCTGTCGTTGTTTACTCAAGCTTGAACAGCAAAGTTAGTGGGAATGATTTCACGTACAAAGAGTTCACCAACAGAAGCCTTTTTTCTCTATGACATAATGTAAAATTTGGTAACAGAATTTTTGTCCCACTTTTTATTTATAACTACAATATACAGTTGAAGTCAGAATTATTAGCCCCCCTTTAATTTTTTTTCTTTTTCAAATATTTTGCAAAATGATGTTTAAAACAGAGCAATAACATTTTCACAGTATGTCTGATAATATATATATATATATATATATATATATATATATATATATATATATATATATATATATATATATATATATATATATATATATATATATGTTTTATTTTGGCTAACTAAAAGCAGTTCCAATATTTTTAAACACCATTTTAAGGTCAAAATAATTAGCTCCTTTAAGCTAATTTTTTTGACAGTCTACAGAACAAACCATCATTAAACAATAACTTGTGTAATTACCATAAACTGTCTCGTTAACCTAATTAACCTAGTTATGCCTTTAAATCTCACTTTAAGCTGTATAGAAGTGTCTTCAAAAATATCTAGTGAAATATTGTTTACTGTCATCATGATAACGATAAAAATAGTCAGTTATTAGAAATGAATTATTAAAACTATTATGAGTGGAAATGTGTTGAAAAAATATTATCTCCGTTAAACAGAAATTGGGGAAAATTTAAACAGGGGGGGGCTAATAATTCTGATCCAACTGTACATAAATAAAAAAAAAGTCAGAATTGTGCAATGTTATGTCTGAATTACAAGAAAAAACATCAGAATTGCAAGATGTAAACCTTGAAATACAAACAATCTATGTAATCTCTGTAATTATACAATTCAAAACAAGTCGAAATTGCAAATCTGAATTACAAGAAAAACATCTGAATTCTAAGAGGCCAACTTGGAATTAGAAAAAAAAAGATGTAATTTAAATTTTAAAGTTTAAAAAAAATTAATTGCAACATATACAACATTTAAAATTACAAGAGAAAAGGTCAAAAATGATAAATTTGCATTTACCTTTATTCTGCTGCCGAAACAATTAATACCGTAATTCATAACTCACTGAAGAATACCAGTAGTATTTAACTAGTAGTAATATCAATAGTTTTTTAAATTTACAAAACAAACCAAAAATTAACTTAGATGACTTGGAATGAAGCATACACATTACAGTATATGAATTATTAACATTTGATGAGTTTTTTTTTATATTACTTGTGTTTATTTTTACTTTATGGATAACTCAAGCAGAAGGTGGATATAAAGGAGAGTAATTAATGACTAAATTAATTAATGGGTATCTAATTCTTCCACACAACCAGTATTTCACAGTGGAATCCACTACTAGATATATCAAATATTATTTTAGTTGAAAAAATAGATTTTTTTTTTCCACATTTCAATTTTCGTGTTAAAGTGTTTTCCCAGAGATGGGTTGCAGCTGGAAGGGCAATTGCTGCGTAAAAACTAGCTGGATAAGTTGGCGGTTCATTCCGCTGTGGCAACCCCAAATTAATAAATGGACTAAGCCGACAAGAAAATGAATGAATGAATGAATGGTTGAAGTGTTGGTTCAGTTTCCTATTTCAATTCCTATCTTCACACAAATCAAGCATGAGTCAGTTCACTTGATGTGTGCCACATCTTGACTTTAGAGGCGCATGATATATATATATATATATATATATATATATATATATATATATATATATATATATATATATATATATATAAACCCACCGGTCCTACTGCTTCCAACCCACTCTGAGCTGGGATCATGAGCTATGGGAGTCGGTTGCTCTAACAAGGACCAAAGACCATGACCATGGTTGCTAGAGCACCTTTGGAGGTCAGAGGAGTCAGGTTTACCTGCATAGCACTTTGCTAGCTAGCCACCAATCCGCTTGTTAAGTGTGACGTCAAGCGATGCTGCTTCCGGGTCCAAGCGCTCCATTCAACTGACTGGGGAGACTCATGAAATGGCAATAATAAACATTTACAAAGCGAATAAATACTTTCGAAAATCACGATCGCAATATATATGTCCATGCCTAATATCTGATGGCCAGAAAATGATTCATTTTATTATAAATTGTTAATTTTTTGGTATTTGTTATGTAGCAAACCCAGAGATTGTTGTGTACACTATGACTTTATATAAAATTAACTTTAATGTGTGATAGGAATAAAACATGATCATAAACGAATGATTTCTCCACTCAAATGAATGGCGGCTTGGACCCATTACACACACACATACATACAGTACATACATACATACATATATATATATATATATATATATATATATATATATATATATATATATATATATATATATCAGTGCGGGATTTTTTCCAGCTGTGGTGGCAGGCCTTTTACACAGATCTTCCAACTAACTTGTATGGTTATTTTAATGACAGATGTTGTGAACACAGTATTACAAGTCGAGATAGCATTCATGTAGTATGAGCATGCAAATCTCTTTGCTTGCACGTCGATTTCCTCTGCACAAAACATTTCATGCTCTCAAATATACACTGCTCAAGCACAGATTTTCTTATCCACACTCAAATAAATGCTAAGAAAGTGTGATTTAGTGTGTTTATGTAACAAGTTAGTCTCCAGGATTTTTTAGATTTGCTAGGAATATTTTTGAATGTCTCTAATATACATACAGAAAGGCATTGATGGCCCTGAAGTAAAGTAAAACATCCATAAACTTCAGCAAGATGAAGTCATTGTATGCAGAATAGACCGTTATCTATAAATAAAACATAATTATGGAAACTGTGTTCATCAAAACTGCAAGCCACATTGTGTTTGCTGCCCTCACGCATCGCACAGCCCTGTCAGTCAGCATGTAACCTCAAGGGTTAAACATTTAGCACACAGCACTACTACGATAACAGAAAAGTTCTAATTCACTTACATTTTGGTGTGATTATAACCCACTATAAAAAACAGCAACAACTGCAGGTTTTGAATGAGAAACTAATGAATCTGTGGCGGGAATGAATTTTGGTGTGGCACCACGCAATGGAAGAATGAATGTAGCGCAAATGTGTAATATTTCTTATACAATGTATTGTTTTAGATGACCAAAATGTCAATAAAAATCACTTTGTTGTTGAATTTTAAACATCAGAAGTCGACAAAGCAGAGATAAAAGTCCTGTGATGCAATTCATAACCGTAAAATAAAACAACAACAGAAAAACCAAAAAAACCTGTAAATCACAAAAAATGGAAACTTAATTAACGGATTTTTTTTACAGTGCAGTTGTAGAATGGAGACTTTTATCTATTGGCTGTTGATTAGATAAAGGCAGATCTGAATAAGAGAAGTGTGCCACTGCCCCACCGAGTTTAGCTTCAACCCTAATTAACAACCAAACCAGGTAAATAAGTTCTTTAGATTAACAACAACATAAAAAAAAAAAAAAAAAAAAAAAAAACTCAGAGGAGATGTGTTAGGGCTAAATTCTGCAGAACAACTGACTTTTAGGAGCAGCTTGGACACCCCTGTTACCTAGTACAAAATCATAGTTGTGTGACGCTGATTTTCACCTGACAGAATCCTCAGAGGGACCACTTACCCTTTTTACCAGAAGAAAAATCAGCAATGCTCAGACTGTAGATG